CGCACCTGCTTCTGTTTGGTCTCGGTCAGCTCGCGAGACGCTGCCAGTTCCTGGTGGAGGGCGGTCAGCTGGTCCTCAAAGGACCGTGTGCCGTTAGCCTCGCCCTTGAGCTGATGGTACTTTCTCTGTGCAGACACGCACACACACACATACAGAGAGAGAGAGAGAGTCACGAACGTCCTTGAGTGCGTGTGTGTGTGGTCTATCTCTGACAATGACGGTCTTGTCCCCTGTCCATGCCACACACACACACACACACACAGACACAGAGAGAGAGAGAGGGGGCAAACCGAGTGGGGTTGATTTCTTCGTCTGTATGTGTGTGTGTGTAGGGGGAGGGGGGGTGGGGAGTCGGTCCGACCTCCGAGTGGTCTGTGTGGGGGGCCTTCTTCTGGCGTGGCTTCTTGGGAGCTGGGGGCTCGAGGATCTCCTCAAATTGGCGCGACAGCTAAACCAAGGCACACACATACAGAGAGAGAGGGTATGTGGATAGATGGCACACATGTAGACACATATCTTTTGTCTAGGCAGAGCTTGACGAGTGCGGGTATCTTGGATGAAGCTGAGGTGTCCTTGGCCTGATCCCGCAGCACATCCACATACAGCGACAAATACAATGGGGTTGGCTGGCATGGTGGCTGTGCACCTTTCTTTTGCGATGTTTGAGCTTCTGGTGTTGGTCGGCGCCCTTGGATGGTCCCTCCATGTCCGCATCCATGTCGGCGCCAGCCTGGGCCGCACACTCTTCCGCCCTCTGCCCACCGCTACCCCCTGCCCAGTCACTCCCCCTCCCATCACCGGCACCATCACCAGCTGTGTTTGCGTCTGCGATGTCGATGGAGCACAGCATCGCGTGAGCGGCCTGGGCAATACGGGCGGGCTGCAAGTCGATATCCTCGCTGCTGCTGTTGCGAGTGGTGGCGCCACTGGCCGATGAAAACAGGCTCGGGAACGCCTTGGCGTCGTTCAGACGCATCCTCACACTGAGAACCCACAGAAAACATCAAAGAAGAAAGGAGATCTGACATGGCATCACTACAGATGCATGACATCGTTCCCACCTGTCCTCATGTGTCTTGCTGCGCTTAGGGCTCTTTCTCCCTCCTTCCATGGGCCTCATTGAGCCTTGAGAGCTGCCTGCGTGGGGCTTACCTCTGGCGGTCTCCCTTGATGCGTAAATTTGGGAAGGGCGTCCTTCCCTGAAACCCTGAAACCCTGAAGTCCGTGGAGCAAAACATGAATGCACGGACTTTGGGGGCCGAGTGGGTGTGATGCGCACCTTAGAAGTCAGAAAACCCAACAACTCTGGCGCCTGGACACGCAAAGCAAGTGAGAGAGAAGTCCAGGTGATGCTATCTGGTGTGCGTCTGACCTGTGCCTGGAACCCTGCAAACTGGTTGACAAGGCCCCGCACCTTCCTCAACGTCTCACCAATGCTCTCCTGACAGAGACACACCGAAGGCAATGCAGAAGAGCACACGCGGCCGGTTGGATGCGCCACGGCTCACCGTCTGAGTGTCGATGGCATCCTGGGCAACGCGTCAGCACCAAAATTATCTGCTTGAGACAACAGACAGCAAAAGAAGACATGCGGCGTAACGGGCTCGCTGCTGCTCTTGCTGCGGAGGGGATGGCGGAAGTGGGGAGGCGGGCGTGGTGGGCGTTGGAGCACAAAGCAGTGGGGCTCCGATGCAGATGAGCAATTCATTGTAGTGCCCTTGCAGCATGTCCTGCAGCGCAAAGCAGCCCGAAAAAAGTCAAAGGCATCATGTGAATGTGTGTCTCTTCCTGCATACGAGGCGCTCCTTTAACGCCCGGTTCTCTGTCTCGATGCCCTTATCGAGACAGACAGACAGACAGACAGACAGACACGTAGACATCGACCAGTCCCGTATACCGTTGACGCTTCCTTGTCTCACCTGGATTTTGTCTTGTTGACGACGGGCGAGCATGACGTAGTCATTGTAATGGACTTGTAGGAGGTCCTGAGGGCAAGCAGCAGCATTCATGAATGGCCGGAGACATCGACGCATCTCGTGTGTGTCTGTCTTGTCTTTCGTACGAATTGTTCCTTCATCTCCACCATCTGCGTGTCCTTCTCGGCCACAGCGGCCTGCAGCTCACTGATGGCCGCCTCACGCTCACGAGACCTGCACCTCCGTATGTACGATGTGCGATTTGGGTCCTGTGATTTGTTCTCACTTGTCGACTTCCTCCTTAAGAGCGGCGCATTCGGTTGAAAGGGCGTCGACTTGTCCACATCGCGCAGCAACCGACCTTTCTCATCCTGCACATGAATGGCCCACGCAGAGAGTATGGTGATGCATCCAAGCACCCGTATTCCTCTCTCCACCAATTACCCGAGTGCTGCGTGCATCTTGTCGATCAATACAAACATGCGACCAGGCAGGCTACAAAGAGACGAGGGGAGCCAGTCAGTCACGCCAATCTTGGACTTCAACGGACACACTCGTTGTGGTGATCATCCTTCTTTCAATTTCTGAGAAGAAGTGAAGACACACACACACATATCACTTCCTCTCAAACAATCAATCTACATCAGGGACCTCTGTAGAGGGGCTGCTTGCGGTCGTCGTGGTTGTGGAATCCAGTCCAATTGATCCAGTCGCTGGGCATGCCAGTCAGCATGAAGAAACCAACCCGCTTCGGCGCAACTACAATCGCAATCGACTCGAGAAGCAGTTGCTGCAACCAGGATATGTGTGTGTGCATCATTATGACGGCTCTCTTTCTGCCGTGGTGCAGGTAATGACCTGGTAGGCAAAGTGGTTGAGCCTATGCAGCTGACCTGGGCGGGTGGGTCTGTGGAAGTGGCTGCGGTTGTGGGTGTGGTTGTGGCGCGGGGGGCCGAGGCCGAGCGGCCGGTTGCTGCAAAAATGGATTCATAAGATAGCAATAGACCTGACTAAGACCCTTTCCTGCCCTTGTGTCTGCTCACCTGTCCACCAGCTGCGACAGTGGTCACCTGCGAATGTCACAATACACACAACAATGTTTGCCCACTCACGTCTAGTACTCTTGAGATCTCCTACCGCCGCGTGCTGGATGAAGCCAGCCGACTTGGGGGAGCTGCGCCTGCACCGACCAGCAGCAATGCATGTGAGCAGTGCCTGCAATGGTGTGTGACGTACCTTCTGGAAGGATGCCGCGCGGCCGCAGTGCCAAATGCGCCGCCGGTGCCGGGTGTGGCGGATACGCCGGTGCCGGCACGTACAGCGGCGGACGTCCAGCAGCTGAGGGGATGAACAAACACTCATCGACGAGGGCGGACAAAGCGGAGAAGAGAAACACCTTGGGAAACCACAAACGCACTGGAAGGTGAAAAGGAAAAAAAGAAAAAACAGTCGCCGTCTCTCAGGAAAGTAATCTCGACGTGTAAACTTCCACGACGAAGCGAGTTTTTTTTTCGCTGACCTGGCCACTGAGCAGGGACACACGCCCCCGCCCTCAACCGCACCCTCACCCAATCCGTCAACTCCAACACCGACGTCACCGCCCTCGCCACATGCAACAGCCCACTCCTCCCCCTCCCCCTCTCCCATCCCTCCGTGGTCCCCATAGCCCTCATACCCCTCCTGCATGCCGGCCGCCGCCTCTGCGTGCATGCTGTATGCGTCCTCCTGGCCCATCTCGCTCTCGTCCTCCCTCTTCACATGAACGATCGGCTCAAAGGCAGGCGGCGGGACAGCCGCTGCCGCCGCCGCTGCCGCTGCCGGCTGGCCGGTCTCTTGCTTGTCCCTCAAGTTGAGGGCGGGGGGGCGACGGGACGGCGGGGGCGCGGCCGATCGCGACGGCAGGGCCAGATGGGGGAAGGGAAAGGGCGGCAGGGCCAGATGGGGGAAGGGAAAGGGCGGCAGGGCCAGAGGGGCGTCCGGCAGGGCCAGAGGGGCGTCAGGCTGGCTACCGTCATCCATGTCGGTGGGTTGTTGACTCAGGGAAGGGGAAGCGGGTGGGTGACTCTGGGGGAAGGCCGGCGCGGGCGGCGGCGCACCAGCGTTGCCATTCGTGCCACACACCTCTCCGCCACGCTCCCTCGAGCCGCTCGCCGCGCCGGCGTTACCCTGAAACACACGACAACGCCTCCATTTCCTCCATTTGTGCACAATCACAGTATTCAAACCAAACACGGTGACCCACCGGGGCCTCGTCTGAGGCGCCTGCTGCTGCTTGTGCGCCGCCATCTCCTGCGGAGCCCGCATCTACGCCATGATCTACGCTGGCACATCCTGAATGACAGAAAGGCATCTGCATCCGTGCGTCAATCCCTCCAGCCTCTCTGCCCACCTTGCCCTTCCTCACCTGTATTGGAGAATACGATGAAGTTGGGGAACATCTGCTCATCGCGGAGAATTCGTGTGTCGCCCTCGTTGAGCGGTTCTCCGTACACCAGGTGCGCTTCCAACCGACGAAACAGCCCGATGTCTCCACTAATCAACACAGCTTTGTCATGAAGCACCTCCTCTCGCTGCCACTGCACCATGAATGCACTCACGTAACACCGCGGGTCAAACCTGAAACTCAGGCGGGCCACGGGGGCTGTGAACTCTGCGATACCGGAGCCCTCACGAAGAAAGACGAATCGGAGCTGGGGCCTCTCTGGGCGTGAGAAGGTCGCGCACTCGCGCGGAGGCCTATGCGTTTTTTCGTCCATGATGACAACGCCCCCGGCAACGAACTACCTCATCCCGATAAGTTAGACCCGCCCTCAACCTCGTCCTTGGCCGTCTGGCCGTGGTCGTCGTCAGCTGTGTGGCCGTCATCGACCGTCTGTGCGCCAAGCTTGGGTTTCGTCACGACGGGGAACTGCGGCTGCTCGGGTGGCGTCAAGCTCAGGAACGCATGAAACGCCCTGAGCTTAGCGGCCTCCCTCTCCGTCTGCACCGTGGGGTGGACTGCACAAGAGGAGAAAGTGCACCAAAAGCGTATTCATCCCCGAGTTGACACACATGATCAAGGTGCTGCAGTAAGCTTACGAATGTCGTCGAGGGCTGCATCCAAGAACTTGACGCTGACTCGGAGTGCTGACGGCATCGTCCTCTTCTCTTCCAGGTCTACACCTAGGAATCGCGCGGATTGGCAAGAGAGGCTTGTGCAGTCAAGTTGTCTATGCAGAAACCACACACAAAGTGACACTTGGTGTATCCATCGCTGTACGCGTCACTCGCTTACGTCTTGCAACTAAGCATGAGAAACTGCAGTAGCCCTCAAAATCCACACGAAGCACGAGAGCGGAAGGCGGAGAAGGGGAACAGCTTGGGAAATACGAATGAAAGAAAACGCTGCGGAAGGCGAAAAGGAAAAAAGAAAAAGACGTCGCGTCTCGTCAAAATCTCGACGTGTAAATCTCCTGATGAGCAGAGGCGTTTTGCTGACCTGGCCACTGAGTGCAGGGACAGAGCTTCGCTATGTAGTTCTGGCCTCATGTCTGCCCCACAGCTTGGCTGCATAGCAGCTTCAGATCATTTCTGTGACTGCTTTCCACCATATTGAGTAAGGTCTCAAACACAAGTCCCATCACACACCACGACATCCACTCTCACAACCAAAACTAACTCAAGTCGTCTCGAAAGGCTAAACCAGTTGGTTGTCTGCATGACATTGTCTGCCTGGCTGTCTGCATGGGATGAGCGGCATGCTCATTCAGTCACGGTGTGTGTCATTCTGGTATGTGAAAGGCCTCTCGTATTGCCTGTTCTGTGCTGACGTCCCACACGACGGGCACCGAGCCGCCGAAGGACACCACTGACGGCACGTCGCTGTTGGCACTGCAGCAGAAAAGCTTCCCCTGACAAAATAGGAGGAGGCGCGATGCGATGGACACACACGTCGACACACACATCAGGGGACGGCTGCATTGTACGTCTTCATCACGCACCGCTTTGAGGTCCTTCTCGAACACGAGGGAGGGGCTGCCGTCGCTCTGGGGATCTGTGTTAGGACAACACACAAATCTATCCATTCACTCTCAGTCAGTGTACACATACACGCAGCCAGCCAGCACGGATACCTACCTGCTCTATTCCACACTTTCGCGGCGCCGTCGACGGAGCACGTCACCAACATGTCAGCAACTACACACAACAATCAGACACACAAGAAAAGACAGAGACATCACTGGACGGCCGCTCTTGCATTGCGTGTGTCCTTAGTTGTTACTCACTTGCGGCGTCGGTGATGCCCGAGGCGGCCTGGTGATGGGCATGCAGTCGCCAAAGAGGCTCACTGCCCGCGCCAGATGCGGCCTTCCTGCCTTTCTTGGTGGTCTGCGTTGCGATGGGGTCGCTCTTGAGCTGCCGAATGTCATAGGCTGTCACGAAGCCGTCCTCGGTCGAGACCTGCGCAACACCCCCGCATAGCGGTGGACGTATGCCTGTGTGGTGGGTGGGTTGTGTACCATGCACACGGTCGGGTGGTGCCTGTCCCACACGGCACACTCGCTGTCGGCTGACAGGGGGGCGCGCACGATGCCCTGTCCGCCCTTGGTGCCGCTCTGGTCCACACGGACGTCCAGCACGGCCACCGACTTGTCGTATGCGGCACTCAGCAGGACGGGCTGCTCTATCGGGTGCCAACGGACGCACTGGACCTGACCAGACACACACATTTGCGCATGTGAGTACGTGTGGAAACGCGTGTGTAGGGGGAGGGGGGCACCTACCTTGTCAGTGTGGTGGGTGTATGTGTGCACGCATGCCGCTTTTTCGATGTCCCACACCTTGACAGTCTCGTCGGTACTTCCACTGCACATGATGTGCCTGGTGACCACACGTACACGCCACACATACTTGCACAAATCGACGGACGCCTATCATGCCCCTTCAACCCACCTCTGCATTTTGTTGGCGTTGAGGCACATGATGGCCCCCTTGTGGCCCTTCCCCGCCCCGCCGCCCTTCTTCTTCTTGGTAGCCCCACCACCCAACACTGCCAGTGGCTCCATCGCGTTCAACACATCCAGATCCCTAGTGGACACGGCACATCAGCCACAGACAGCGACAGATAATGCGATTGTACATGTGGATGTATCGTTTGTGCACCACATACCATATCTCAATTTGCGGCTCAAAGGACCCCACTGCCACCAAATTGCTGCCTGCAGCCAAGGCATTCATGCGTCACAGAACATTGGTAGGGGTCGGTGTTGACGGGCCTGGATGCCTACTTGTTTGTGCGCCATCGGTTGATGCTGCTGCCTTGGTGGGCGCCTGGCTCAGCCACTCGAGGCACAGCGGATAAGAACCCACCTGCAGGCAGACACATGCCATCAAACGATGAGAGCATGCGTGTGGGTGCATGTTTGTGTGTGTGCTGGACACACACCATGATGTCGTGGTGGACGAAGAAGCCGAGTGCGTCGGGGTCGTACACGTACACCTCCAGCACCGAGAAGTCACGCTCCTGACGACATCCGCACACATGACCACATCAGTAGATACATACATAGCGCTGCCTCCAATCCACTCGTGTGTGTGTATGCACCCACCGCCGATGCGGCAACGAGGATGAGGTCTTGGTTGGGCCGGATGGCCACGTCCTCGTCCGCATCGCTGTCCTCCTGTCGGCCTCAGACCACACATGGTGCAGTAAGGACACACGCACACACACATGTGTGATCCAGCCATCAGTACCTCGTCTCTGATGTTTGGATCGTTTTGTGCAAGGGGCAGATCGGAGTCCAACACGCTGAAGAAATTCTTCCCTAACACATACGCACACACAACGTAGAGATACCGTCCGTCCCCGTCTGTCTGTGTTGGTCTGCGCGCCGACCGTATTGGTCGTCGTCGTCTTCCTCATCCTCATAATGCTCCATGTCAAACTCGTCGTCAGCTCCGGTCGCACGACCTGCACACATCCATCCATCCATCCATCCATCCATCCAAATCCAGCTTTCCGTACCGGTGAGTCGTGCGGCCGCTGCAGCCGCCTTGGCTTTGGCCTTGGCCTTCTTGGTGATGCTGCTGCTGGTAGACACCCGCTGTGTGGCCTTCTTGCTGACCGCCGTGTTAGTCTCCTCTGTGTCCATCATCGCATCATCATCATCGTCGTCGTCGTTGACATCCTCCCACTCATTGCCCTCGTCGTTGTCCACATCGATGTCGTTGGAACGACTGGGGGCAGCCCTGACCACACGGAGAGAGAGAGAGAGAGAGAGAGAGGGAGCATTCATCATGTGTGTGTGTGTGTGTGTGTGTGTGTGTGTCGTACTTCTTGCCCCTCTCCTCCATCAAGGTCTTGAGCTGGGCCTCCTGCACCGACAGACAGACAGACAATCAGTCACAACAGATGCAGATGAATGCCGTCGTCTTCCACGTCTGTACCTCTTCATCTGTCATTTCATATTGTCTGGGCACTGCCTTGGCCACCCCACGGGGCACCCACACCACACACGACACCGTCGTCCGGGCCTCACTCATCGGTGAACAGATGAAAAGCCAAGATCCAAGCAAATGGATGGACTCGCCTTGCAATCGTCACACCTCCTTTCCTCTCCTCCTTCCTTCGTCTGCGAGCTTAGCTGTGAAATTGGCGAGCTCAACCTTTTTGAGAAGCCTCTTCCAAGCTGTTGACAGCCTTATATCGCATTGTAGTCCCCTCCTGACGGTTTTGTCATTATGTATCTGACGGAGTACGACCCCTTCACCATCAGAGAGCCTCTCGAGAAGGTAGGTGCGATGGCGAGGACAGGCACGTCGGAGGTGTACGGTCGCATGTGTGTGGTGTGTGCAGGCTCTGGGCGAGCGGCTGACGCCCCTCGAGGCGCAGCGGCTGGCGGACAAACTCAAAAACCAAGGTGGGCGAGAGAGAGCCGGGGAGACGCTTCGTGTGCCTGCCATGGCCTGATGTGTTGTCTTGTCAGGCATTCTGTCGCCGCACGACCCGCTGTTTGCCCAGGAGTTGAAGCGTGCCCGTTCTCAGCAGCACCACTACCTGGATGACTTCTCGTCGTTTGGCGTGGAGACGTTCGGACCCACACTCCCGCAGCGGGCACGGAGCGAGACCACCAGGTGACCCACACACACACACACGACACGCACGCCAACACGTGTATGGGTGGTGATCTCGTCTCCTCTGCATTTGCATGCGTGTGTGTGCGCAGCCCCGTCACTCCCTCGGTTGTGACGCCATCTGCGATGCGGCCGATCGTCATCCCGCGACACGAGCGGGTACGCAGACACGCACACTCGTCCGCATTTGTGTTTGTATGTGTGTATGTGTGTGCAGTATTCGGAGGACCCCGCCAGTTCCCCCTCCACGTTGGTGCCGTCATCCGACTACGTGGCCCAGTCGCACGTGGACTTCGGATACATCAACTTCCCGGAAACGGAGGAAATGAACATCAAGGTAGGTCGCATCACGCCACACACACCACCGCAGACATAGTTGGTGCACATATGACGCATTGTGGGTGGCTGTTGTTCGACATTCAGGTGTTCGGTGCTGATGAGGATCCGAGTGTGGCGGCGTTCCTGGAGTTCCGCAAGATCGTCAGCCTGCAGAGCGGACACAACCTCTCCATGCAGGCGCTCAAGACGCTCCGGGAGATGCTCACAGACCTGGTGGGAACACACCACAGCACAGAACACACAGGAAGCTTATGAGCATGTGTGTGTGTGGTGTGTGGGTGCATCAGGGCATCAGCAGCACGCGAGACCCCCGTTTCCGCGACGTGATGCGGTGTGTGCAGCGGCGCAGTCTGCGGGGCGGCGAGACCCAATACGAACCCATACTCAGAGAGGTACACACATGGACGCACACACATACAGACACCCACGTGTTGCCTGTTTATGTGTGTGTTTGTGTGGCTGTGTGCAGGTGTTTTCTGTGGAGCCGGGCGACACACCCACAGCCCAGTGGTGATGTCATGTGGCAACCGAACCACACCACACACACCGCAATGGGGCCCTGATCGGCAGAGAGGGAGGGAGGGAGGGATGCATCGATGGCCCACTCTTTCTTTCACACCCGCACCTGTCTTTTTTCGTTTGTTTATTTCACACCTGTTTCACAGACACAACACGGACGCGTCCTCACCTCTTTCCCTTCGTTCGACTGACATATTTGTGTTGCCGCGGGTCCCCCTCATCCCGAGTGCGTGTCCGTCGTGTTGTGACCCCATCGGATATGGCCACCCACAAGAACACATGTGGGCGGCTAAATTCGACGGGGCCATGCTACGTGAGATACGCATGTCCGGGGAGAGACAGCGGTCCTGGTCCGGTAGAGTAGATGGGTGGCTCATTGCATTCGCTGGCCGCTTTCTCATCCTGCATGTGCCATGCGTGGAGGTGAGTTGCCTAGATCCATCCATGTGTGTGCGTGCGGCAAGGGAGTTTTTCTGATGGATCAGCCGGCCAGCCAGCCAGCGGGGAGGGTAGCACAACACACATTACTGAAGAAGGTTCATGTGTGGCTTTTTTCGTCTTGTTGGGACAGTCGCAGTGGGATGAGCTGGGGGAGGGATAAGGGGGAGCTTCTGTTGGTCTTCTGTGCGTGTTTCTGCTGCTGAGATGCGATGGACATGATGACTTCATCCTCAATGGGTCTCTATCTCGTCTTACACGCCGAGAGACACCCGACATGCATAACACCACTGGGCTGCTGACACCATCCACCCCTGCATACCCACCGTGTGAGAGAGATCGCACATTGCATACGCCACACCACATGTGTTTGGCCTTTCTCTTCTGTTTTGTTGAGATCTGTCTGTGGAAAATAACACAACACCGGAAGTATACTTGCTTGCATCCCTACCAATCGCAGTTACTACACATCTGTGCATCCGTGTGTGTGCGTTCATATGTGTGTATGTGTGTGTGTGGATGTGTTGATGGCAGTAAGAGGCAGGCAGCTGGCTAACCGGCAGGAAGGCGTGCGCGTGAGGACTCTTTCGTGTATCTGTGAATTTGGGGTGCACGTGTGTTTATGTGGGTGTGTGGGTCTACACGTGTTTTCCTCTACTTGATCGGTCGACTAACCGGCAATGGGTGGGGGGGCAGAGACCAACCCAGACAACTTAACGCAAGATGCAATGTGCAATGAGTGGTTGACGAGTCAGCTGCAGTCGCTGCAGCCTTTAAACTACCCATTCATCTCCATCGCGGCATACACAAGCCGCTGAAAAACATACCTTGTCCATTGTACACTTCAGCTGTCGCACTCCCGTCCTCCCTCCCTCCCTCTCTCCCTGAACCAGTCCTTCTATCAAGCCTCGCTGGCCGGTGCTGCTCATGCAGCAGCAACAGCAGCAGCAGCCTCTGCATGGAGACCGGGCAAACCGGGCCGGCCGACGTCACGTCGAGAGCAACAGCGGCAACAGAACCAGCTCTTGAGGCAGTCGCCGACGCTCTTGAACCACATGCCCGTGTCCTGCGTGCTGGTCCTCACCAGCCACAAGCCAGTGGGGGCCTCCCACTCCCACCACTCCCACTGCCTCAACGAATAGTTCCACCGCCAGGTGGACTCGCCACCCGGAAACACGCCGCGAACCACAAGGGCCTTCTGGGGGCAGGGATTGCTCAGGGCCTTCTGAAGCAGCAATGGGTCCGTCGGAGGCAGAGAGGGTGCATGAGGGTGGCGATTGTGGGGCGACTGGTGAGACGCATTGGCGACATTGGGCTGGACAGCTGGTGCTGGTGCCGCCTGGGGTGACATTGGATGGATGGCGCGAACCTGAAACAGACAATGGGAGCCTCTCTCTCTCTGTGTGTGTGTCTGCGCATGTGTGCATGAGTGTCCTTCTCCCTCCCTCGCTCGCTCTCCCTCTGCCCACCTGTTGGTGCCGCCATTGCCACCCGGCCTGGTAGGCGTTGACCAGGTGCTGCGGCGGCCGCTCGTTGCCTGTTAGCCTGGCCCGCACCCCCGGCCCGTGCACCGCCGCCCATTTGTCAAAGAGGTCCAACGCCTGACAGAAGGGCATCCATCCATCCATCCGCCCATTGGTATGTGTGTGTGTTACCCCTTCGACGCCAGGCGGGGCGTGGTCGGTGGAGCCCTGCAGGTGGTCGAAGAGCCGGTGCGCCTCGGGGCTCTACATGACGCACATGCAGCATGCCACACTTCCAAACAGATCCATTCAGCCATCAGTTTGTGTGTGTGTGTGTGATAGAGACCACTTCTTTGTCCTTGAGCACATGTTGCTGAATGGTGTTGCCCAGTCGATGCAGGTCCTTGCGGGGCTGGTCTGCCTGCACACGTTCCATATCCACACCCCCTGACATCCATGGCCAGGCAGGTGTGGGTGGTGGAGGATGTTGGTGCTGGGGTGGCGTACCCATTGGGGGTCGTCCCTGAAGCGAAACAGTCGATCGATGTCGACCAGACACCCATGCGCGCACCAATCCGCTCCACGCCTCAAACACACATTCTGAGGCTGCACACACACACACACACAGACACACACAACACAGAGAGAGAGAGAGAGATGGATTTGCGCATGTGGACTGTGTTGCATACGATGACATCGCCGTGTGCGACGCCGATGTCGTGGAGGAACTTCAAGCCGTCGAGGACGTCCTTCAGAATCGGCATGACGAGCGCCTCACTGACCTCTGTCCACCGCGGCAAGTCCATGAGATCCCCCCCTGCACACACACACACACACACTCAACGGCACCAATGTGTGTCGGGTCGGGTGTGTGGCGCCACCGCCACCGACCGATGCACGCCTTCATGATGTAGCCCTTGAGGCCGCAGGTAGCGTCACATCCCGGCAGCCCGGTGAGGCGGTAGATGCCAACGACCTTGACAATGGCCGGATGGTCCACCTCGCCCTCCAGAGAGACGTCCATGCCATTGCGGGGGAACCCATACGCATCCTGCCGCACGACAGACAGACAGACAGGCAGACAGACAGACAGACGGGCAGACGGGCAGACAGGAAAGCATTGCACGACTCGTAATGGCGGCATGGTCAACTGACTGACCGGCTCGCGTTCCTCCTCATACTTGAACGGGACCTTTAGCACGACAATTGTCTGATCTTGAAGGTCCCAAAGGCTCGTGGTGAAGCCGTGGAAGCCCCAATGGAGATCCGTCGGGGTGCCGTCCCGGTGTGTTGCCCTCACGAAGCGTCCCTTGGAGGCGTGACTCACATGATCCTGCGGTGATGAGCAGTGCTGACCAGTGTCATCCAAAGCGCTGTGCGATGGAAGGGCTCACCAAAAAGAGGTGCGCCAGGGGGACGCGCTGCTCCTCGGAGAGATCCTTCTGAAACAAAGCACACCGGAATCTGTCAGGCCAACGTCCTCAGACCTCAGGGGAGCTGCAGAGCTCACCGGTGGAGAATATCTGATGCTCATCTTGGAGAACTTGAGAGATCTTACTTGAATCTCATGCGAGCTTTTCCTGCGCGGGTCGCGACGGCCTACGTGATCCATCCATCCAGCCAGCCATCCATCCAGCCGTCTGGTAGAGATGAACTACCAGATGCACCCGCGGGGAAGACCACCCCCATTTGTCGCAAGAGGGGTCCGTCCACCCCCTCATCTCGTCGCGCACCTCGGTAAGTCCACTGATGACCAGATCTTTCTCTGTCCATGGTCCATGAGTGTCTGTTCATCCCCTCAGCTGCTGGACGTCCGCCGCTGTACGTGCCGGCACCGGCGTATCCGCCACACGCGGTACTCCCGGCACCGGCGGCGCATTTGGCACTGCGGCCGCGCGGCGTCCTTCCAGACGGTATGTCACACACCATTGCAGGCACTGCTCACATGCATTGCTGTTGGTCGGTGCAGCCGCAGCTCCCCCAGGTCGGCCGCCCTTCATCCAGCACGCGGCGGTAGGAGGTCTCAAGAGTACTAGACGTGAGTGGGCAAACATTGTTGTGTGTGTTGGCATTCGCATGTGACCACTGTCGCAGCTGGCGGACAGGTGCGCAGACACGAGGGAATGAAAGGGCCTTATCTGGCCATCCTCGTCAGGTCTATTGCTATCTTATGAATCCATTTATGCAGCAACCGGCCGCTCGGCCTCGGCCCCCCGCCCCACAACGACACCCACAGCCGCAGCCAGTCCCACAGACCCACCCGCCCAGGTCAGCTGCATAGACTGTCGGCAACTCAACAGATGACAATGTGCTGATGCGTGCAGACCGGCGGTCGACGTCGGCCTGCAGCCCGAGGACGTGCAGGGCGACAAGAGCAGCGCCCACGACACCACCCTGCCCAGGTGGGTCAACGCTGCTGTATCTCTTGACTGCATTGCTCAACTTGTTGCTTCTGCGTGTGCACTTTTTTTTCAGCCTCCGGACCGAAATCGCCACCCTCAACACCGCGGAGCAGTCGGCGGCCTTCGGAGGGCGGGTGCACGCCATCATCGCCCAGCGCCGGGCCGAGGACGCCGCCTTCGCCCAGCTACTGGCAGACGCCCACGACAGGGAGCTGCGTCTGCGGGCGGAGGAGCAGCAGCAGCGGGAGGCCGAGATCCGAGCAGAGAGCCGCCAGCAGGGCAGGGAGGAAGGGCGGGAGGAAGGGCGGGAGGCGGGGCTGCTGCAGGGGAGGGAGGAAGGGCGGGCCGCAGGGCTGCTGCAGGGCAGGGAGGAAGGGCGGGCCGCAGGGCTGCAGCAAGGGCAGGCCCAGGGCTTCCAGACGGGCCTGGCGCAAGGGCTCCAGCAGGGCATCGCCCAGGGCTGGGACCAGGCCACGCGATGCGTGATCTGTTTCGCCGCCCCGAGGGACACCGTCACCCGGCCATGCGTAAGCAGTGACAGACACTAGCCACTGAATGTACCTGCAGTTGTTCCTGACTTAACCAATGTTTTAACTGTGTGTGTGTGTGTGTGCAGGGCCACGTGTGCATGTGCCAGGGCTGCGCTCCCCATCAGGCCGTCTGCCCCATCTGCCAAGGCCCAAACAACCCGAATGCCCCGCTGCCCCCGTGGGGTGGGGTCTTCATCTCGTGATGGTGCTGCCCGCATTGCTTCCCGGGGGAGAGGGGGAGGGAGGGGGAGAAGGGGAGAAGGAACGGGTTGGGGGGAGGGAGGGAGCGAGTCTGAATTGAACAGTGCGCTTCGATTTTTTCTGTACATTAACTAACTTGTGTTGCGATTGATTGATGTTGGCCATGCGATGACTTCAGTCCATTTGCCATGTGCGTTGAAGTAAGTGCGGCACTGATCGATTGAAGTCTCGTCTATCGCACACCACACCCGCCCTCACGCACAGAAAAACCTGAGCTCTCACCACTCAATCATATCCGCCCCACGCCGACATCCGAACACAACGTACTGGCCACATGTGCCATCAGCCATACAGCACCTGTGAGTTGCCACATTCTCATTCACCATTCATGTCAAGTGTCTCCCCGTACACACCCACGGCTTCCCAGCCGCCCCACGCCATGCAAACAGCAGGTAAACCAAACCGATGTCAGAGATCACGACACACGCATGCACACACTCATCCGCCAGGCTCACTGGCCGGACCTGACACGCGCACCCGCATTTCCTTCTCCTCCGAGAGGTCGCCGTGCGGCAGTGCGTTGTTGAGCCCGCTCATGACACGCAGACACAGGTCGCCCCGAGAGAGCAGATGGGCGGCCATGTCCGATGCGTGTGGGTGCAGCACCACGCGACACGAGTAGGTCGGCGGGAAGGGCGGCACGCTCATGCCACGCAACGACACAACCTAGCGAAGGAAGGAGCAAACACATGCACGTTCAGGCAAACGAACCAGCAGAGTGGATACGTACGTACCTTCTTGACATTGTGCCGTCCGATGGCGTCTTTGATGGCGGAGGGCATCATTGGCCCCGTCACCCACTCCCGGTCGAACCCATGCACACACAACACGTGACAGTCCCTATCCTCGTCATCACCACCTCCCGCCTCATCGACATTGACACGGCCGCCGCGGGCCATGGCAGGGCTCTCGCGCAGGGACGACACCGAATTGCCAATCATATTGTTGTTGTCGGACGTCAAACGGATCACAGTGGCGCTGCTCTGCACGGACGAGGCCACTGGGGGCCGGGGCGGGGAGGGGCTGGCCAGAGATGTGAAGACACTGGGGGACTCCTCTTGTCGGCCGTTGCTGTTTGGCGTGTCGATAATGTCCTGCTCCCCCTCGTCTCGCGACGACGTTGACGGCACTCCCTCCTTGATGTGCTCGTTCTTGCGTCTGTGTGCGGTGTCGTTGAGGTGGTGTCTTGGGCTGCTGCCCTCCTCGAGCTCCTTCTTCTGCTGATACGCCTGCCAGCTGCCCAAAGCCTGCTCGTACCCACTCACGACCCTCCTGTCATCTGCATCGTCGTCAGTGCCGTCGTCGCCGGCTGCTGCCGCCGACCATGTGTCTTGGTCCGGATGCTGGTGTGCGTGTATGATGGTGTTGACGGCCTCTTGGTCGGCGGCGCCAAACAGGGCGGGGGGGAAGCCACGCAGCAGCCGACGACGCAATGACTGCACCTGATAGACACAAGACACACGCAGGAAGAGGGACGAGATGGGACCGGACACAGGCGCTGGTGTGTGTATGTTGACGGGTCTACGTACCTCTGGCATGTTGAGGAAGTTGCGCCTGATTTTGATCCAGTGCTGCAGGCTGCTCTCGTCGTGCGGCGTCATGCCGGCCGGCAGGCTCTCGGCCACTGGGGGCAAGGCGCCCCGCCGGTGGGCCTCGAGTGCGCCGGCAGTGAAGAACAGAGTGAAGATGGAGCCATCAAACATCTGCGGTACACGTCGACATCCATACACACCGTACGCATTTGTGTGTAGGTCGAGTCTGACCTGTCTTGGCTCAGGGGCAAACCGACACCTGCAACAAGGCACAACGAGCAGTCGCATACAGACAGCTGTGGCCCTATGGGTGCATCCATCCATCCATCCATCCATGGCTGGCTGGCTGGCTGACGTGCGCGCGTACGTTTGTTGCCCCTCCTCCAGTCGTCTGGTGGGGTACATCCGCTGCGATAACTCGTGCTCGGGCTCAAATAAACCGCATAAACTCGCTGTACAATGCACGTAACGCACACACACCTGCACCACACCACACAACACAACACAACACACAACACACAACACATATTCCCACACACATTCTACGGGCGTCCTCCGGACACACCACACAGGTACCTGAAACCACGATGCGATGACGACCGACCTATACCCTGGCCTGAATGGGGGGGCGGGGAAGTCGGGCCGCAGGTCGGCCTTGTTCTTGTCCCTGAACGCCTTGAGCTCCTGCCGCGTCCATTTCTTCTTCCCACCCACCACCTCGCCCCCATCGGGGCAGAAGACCATCAGGTAGGGCAGGGTGGCGAGGTCGCACCGCTGCACCGCCGCATTGGTCCACTCGACAGAGCTCTCCTCGACGTCACGCGCCTCAGACCCCAAAGACAGGCTGTCGGACGCTGCTGATGGCCGTGATGACGACGATGATGCGGATGCTGCTGCAGTGCTGGTCTGGTGCTGGTGCTGGTGAGATGCCGAGAGGAGGGAGAGTGCGAGTGGGAGGGATGAGGAATGGCAGAGGTCCCGCTGGGTCCTGAGGCGCGAGTCCCACTGAGCTGAAGCGCATCCCATGCACAGAAATACATACCATCCAGGTGGCATGGCAGCTAAGTGTGTGTCTGGTCTGGTGTGGTGTGGTGTGGTGTGGTGTGTGTATACCGTTGTACACGTCTTCTGCGTCGCCGGCAGGGTCCTCGAGCTCGCGTTCGAACATCTCCATCCGCAGCGACACCAACACTGTCAACAACAGCGAATCGAACTCTGACAACACAACACAACACAACACGCACAGAAAGGGATGGTTGATGCATCGATCCGCCTCAGTCACCCATCCACGCACCGTGCATCTGTATCGGCCCCCCGACAGACCCCCCCGCGCCCCCGTCGCTCATGCCGTCGCTGTCCCCCCTCAGCACCGACAGCAGCATCTGCCCCGCCGCCCTCCTTTCAACCGCCCTCGGCTGCTCCTTCCCCTGCACATGGGGGGTCAGGTTCAGCTGCAGGAACAGCCGCAACGCATAGTCGTAGAACGACAGCTGGCCACGCGTGTACCCCACGCGGCAATAAGTGTCCTCCAGGTGCTCGGGGAGCGTGCCGTCGTGCTCGTTGAGCCGCGAAGGGTGCGGGGACGACTGCCCTCTCTCGTCATCCGAGCTGCCGCTGCTGGACGATGAGTCGGAGCTCGCCAGTGCTTCACCGTCCTCTTGTTCGCCGTCTTCTGCCACGCCGCCCGGTGGCTCCATGATGGGGATGAAGTTGCCGATCCACCGCAGCAGCGCGTCGCCGTCGATGCTGTCGAAGTCCTCATCGAATGGCGAGAGGTCCAGCCGCCCCTGCCTCTCGGGGTAGCGCAACACACCGTCACCGTTGGCAGCAGCAGCAGCAGCAGCAGATGAGGGCGTGCTGGTGTCTTGTTGTTTGTGTCGTTTGTTGGCCAGCCATGTGAGTGAGAGGGACGACTGGCGTGAGGACGGGGATGTGGGCTCACCGAGCGTCTCCTCGGGGGCCGTCTTGAGGCCTCGCGCGGCGATGCGGCACTCGAGGTAGCGGAACTCATTCAGCAGGCAATCCACCACCCTGATATTTAACACACAGCCCGGCTTACGTGTGGATGGGTGCGGTGCTCCGCCCACCACCTACAGACATCCCCTACCTGTGGAACATTTCGAGCCTGTCGCAGTTGCTGTCGGCGCTGTGGAGGTCATACAGACAGGTGGGCCGCGGCTCGGGGGGAGACGAAGCCGAACACGGACGACCACACATCCTCACCTGCACACACACATAGATACCAATCCAATGCATGTGATGTGGTCCCGTCCGCCAATTCAATTCGGCTGTGAGCTCAAGTGCATACGAACGAACATACCTTGGTCTTGGCGAATGGCGTGTCTCCCGCGGCCCCCATCTCGATGACATAGCCCTTGCGAGGCGAAAGGAGGGCATACCACAACCGACGAAGCGCTGACAGCAGACACGCACATGGACAGAGAGCCAACTGCTGCCTGCCTGCCTCTGGTGAGCCGGCCCACGTTTGAGCATGTCCTCGACAGCGACGCCGTCAGCGGCCGGAGTGGGCGACTTCCAAAACACACACGACTCGTGCACTGCAACGGCAAACGACGGAATGCGACCGTGCACACTCAACCTGACACACACGCGACGCAACACACACCACAGACAGCATCGATGTCGATGCACGCACACGCCGACAGCAGAGATCTGTCTGTCCATTCGTCCGTGACATG